GGATCCCAAACAGAGCTGCTGCTCCTCCAACTAATAACTAATAAAAGTTCCAGAGTCAATAAAGAGCGGTGGAATAGTATGAGCAGTAGAAAGTCCAATGTTTAACGCTCTTTTTTTGCCGTCCCTCTATGGTAACTTTTATCAGAGAAGGACGGCAGAAAAGAGGGTTAATTAACAAAAACACAAAAAGCACTACGGAGCGTAATCCCGAGGTGGCAGTCTGTGCCGCCATCTTGGAAGACATTAGTGATTAGCTGCTACATTTGTCGGTACTAACATTAGTAGTGGCTAATGTCGCCTGTAGTCTGCAGCAGCTCACTAATAATAATAATAATAATAAATATCTCATTTTTGTAACCTGTAAACTCCTGGAACGGTAAAAGGAAAATATTAAAGTAGAAAACCTACATACTGTCATTCATTTGTGGATATTAAGTAGATTCCTCAGTTGATCATGTTAAAGTAGACCACTGCAAAAACACTGCTGCCTGCTGGCCTTTACTAAGCTTTCTAGAGGACACCATCTATCCACAGTACATTCACTGCAAAAAATCTAAGTGACCACTTACCACTAAAGGTTAATCATGTGGATCACACATTTGATTTTGCTGGAATAATTGAATGTGACAACTACATTTTCAGCATGGGGCAGATGTTCTCATCCATAAGAAGTTCCAATAAGGGCAAATATAGTATATACACCAAAGTCTGCAACTGGTCAATGTTATGTGATCAGTTGAGCTACATCTTAATTATTAAATATCATAGGCCATATATACATTCATACATCCATCAACAACTGCCTGGACACCCTGTACAGGTCACCACTAACACTAATGATATTAATTATTGGGGTATGGGGATACTTTCCCTGAAACATTTGGGCTTTAAACACTACTTTAAACAATTCTGGTGAATTTTTCTGCACCAATTTATTGAGGAAATATCTTTATTTATATAAAAGGAAACACAAAATTCAGGTGACAGTTCAAATATAAAATATATATATTGTAATATAATGCAGTAAAGCACTGTATTGCTGTCAGATATGTTTCTCCTGTAGATCAACTTTTCTCATTTAATTTAATCCCTGCTGAGTCTACATACATGCAGACAAGCCTGAAGTAGCCTAAAGTCTTTAAATGTGCATGTGGCACCTTTTCACCTCAATGATAAAAGTATTCATTTTTATTCAGTTATAAACTCCTTTAAAAACTTTAAAAACATGAAATTAATATTGTGCGTGATTATCATTGATTAAAAATGTTTTTCCTGCCAAAGACCTAATGTTTAATGAAGCTAAATTTAGTGTGTTAAAAACATTATCTGCCCCGCTTTTTTCAAGAGGCTGCAGCTGACTACTGCTAAATATACTAAATTTGGATATGTTCAGTGCTTCCTGTTTCTTAACACATTCACCATTCTTTTTCTAATGAAAAGGAAAGGAATGGAGAAGGCTACCAGCACATTGGGCTTGTCCTGGGAAGAGTCATGAGTGCCATTTTCCTTGTAGCCTGGACCCAGCCCATATCAGCTTGCTGGGCTTTTACGCCTTTGTGGAGTGGGTCGACGCCGTGTATGTGACACGTCTCAAACCTGGCTGAAGACTTACAGCCAGTGGTGGAGGTGGACGGAGGTCCAGGGTCCCGCAAGAGTGGTGAAAATCCGTCCTGCTGTTGCTGTCCTACCCATTAGTTGGGGAGGTCTGCTGGTAACTGTCCCTTTCTCAGCTGTCCACGGCTGTGTCCTACTAAGAACAGGGGTTGAAGAGGCGCTCTGCCTGGATGATAATGCAGGCCAGCCAGTCGCATCACAAATCTCAGGGCGCAGGGTTCTGCCTGTTACTCGTCCTCCCATTTCCCAACTCCAGTCACTGCAGTACAGGCTAGTACTATTGATAGGCCGCACTCGCGTAGCACTTCAGATCATAAAAGTGTTTAAAATCTATACTTTATCTGAATAAATGACAGCCCAAGTGATTTAAAAGTACCCAAGAGCTGCTGCTCATAATTTCTAGTTGAAAAAAAAAAGAATTTAAGTAAAATAATGCAAGCAGAGGCAAGAGAAAGCAGCAAAGTGTCCGCAGCACTGTAAGAAAGCAGGAAGCAAACTGTGAAGCAGTGTACTGCTTTATTTTGAACTGGTAATGTACTATGTACATGACTGAGATGACCCTTCACATAAAAAATAAGACTACATAATGCTTTGAACTCAGCTAAGCCATAATTTAGGAAAAATACCAAAACAAATTTTACACTGTGCTGGGTGTGTGCCTTTGGCATACGAAAATGAGTTTGTTTGTAAAAGGTGATGCGAAGTTGGCATTATACAGGACGGCCTCTGGTCAGAGATGTGGTCAGGATCAAGCCGGTCAGGCTGAGCAGTTAGTCTGGTGTGTGGACAAAGTGAGTTGTGGCAGAGTTGGGATGCAGTGCTCAACAAAGACTGTTTGTTCAACCAACAATGTTTTATGTATGTGGTTAGTCTTTCATCAGCACACTCAGTATTCAATTTACATACTGTCTACTGATCCGGCACTGAATGTTAAGCTGTTTATGCTCTCTCAGCCACTTTATTCTGACACCGAGATGTATGTGTGGAAGTCTGTGTGTGTGTCTAAGACGGATTGGCCCCCCCCACCCCCATGGTTGTGCAGTATTGTGTTCTGGTAGTAATGATGGGTTCTGTGCCTCCCAGTCTTTCTCCCAGCAGGACATACACATAAAAGGGTCCTTCTCAGGGCAGCCATGCGTGTGTGTCTCTGTGTTGTTTTTTGCAATTGTGTGTGTGTGCATATGTGCGCATCTTTGTGTGATTCTAAGAACATCAGTTTTGGTGGTTCATGCTGATTGTACCTCATACTGTGCGCGTGTCCAACCCATCAAGGTTCACATTGGAACTCTCGCTCTCTTTCTCTGGCTCTATCTCTCTTGCTCTCTCTTGCTCCCACCTCCCCCTTTTTCATCTATCTTCCCGTTCCCCTATTTCTCCTCCCTGTATGACATTTCTGCTGTCCTCAGACAACTTCTCTGCACTTCCCCTGTTTGTATCAGTTATTGGATTTTACCAGGGGAGCCTCTTCCTTTTGCTATTGCAAATCAAAGCATCGACACTTCAGAAAACAACAGTTCTTCTTGGACAAACTTTGGGTTCCACACATTACAAAAGCTATCTAGCTTAGAATGTAGTGCTATTGTTGAGGTGGAAGCAAATGTTTGCCTTCCGTCATTTGCATGAATTTAACTGCTGGACTGTTTTGCTGTCTGGGTTTATTTGCTTTACACAGCCAATGTACAGACATTCGCTGTAGCTAGCTGTAACAACATGCACACAGACTGTGTGACACCAGAAACTCTAGTTCTCACGGTTACTACTGATGATAGCTAGCTTGAGGAAGGCTGCTGGAGTACAGTATTACAATATAACAGCATCAGTTGTCTCCAACTAAATCTCAGCCTAGCTCACACAGTTGGCTACTGTATGAACTGGCTAAGCAATACTTAGACTAAAGATACTTGGTGATTCAGTCAGATTTCAAGAAAAGCAATGTCTGGTCCAGTTTGGACAGGGGAAGACTGAAGGGACCTGACAGTTGACAAATCACCCTTAATTTATTTAGGTATCGTGAATGTTCAGGTTCAGACAAGGTCGGAAACTAATTATCTATAATCAAAGGTTTGTTTAACATGAAATGAATGCATACACACTTGTCAAAATATGAACACACTTAAAATTGCATTGATGTCTATAGGATCTTCATTTTCTATCCCCCAAAAAGCCAGGACGGCCATGATGTTTTACAAAGTACCTGTATGGGCTGGTCTGATATATTGCAGCTTATTAGCTGTTTTGCATCATCACTTTTATTTGTACTCCTCTGTCGGAGTGGTAGGGTAGAGTACTAATAAATCTTTACTCAAGTAAAAGTATAAAAGAACTCCATAAACTGCTAACTAAGTACAAGTTACTTTGTGTTTTAATATTGACAGAGATCTTCAAAAGTCATTTTAGTCAAGTCCAAATCAAGTCTCAAGTCTCTTTTTGGAATAATAAGTGTTTCATCCACATTCATTCACCAGGTCAGAAACAGCCACTGTGCAAAGTGGGTATTTCTAGGAAATGTACTTTGCTTTGCATGGTGATTCTCTCTAATTTAGCTATTTCTGTTTAACACAATGAATTACTTAGTCTACATGAAGGTATTGAAAGGATCACTTTAAAATAACATACTTACTAGCTGCCTCACCTACTGTTGTTGCCTGTATCCGTTCTTGAAATGGACATGTAGCCAGCCAAATCACTTGTTTGATATGAAGGGAGCTGCATATGATTTGCCATCTCCAATAGCTCAGTCACCCAATGCAATTTGATTATTCCTAAAGCATATATAAGCATATAGCATGTAAAAAGCATATAATATAAGCATATAATAATCTTTACAACGTGAATAATTATTATGGCAGTAATACAGGAGCAGCTCATTGCTGAATGAAGTAGGATAAGCCTACATACAGAGGAAGAGGTGTGCGACGCGTAGCCCAACAGGACTGATGTATCAACCCATATCTCTCTCTATGCTTCTCAAAAATAACTCTTTCCTGTATAAGTAACAGCTGGTAGCCAGCTGACTGAAAGCCAAAATCAGTTTTACTGGTGACATTCTATTTAATGAATTCACCATCGTCCATCACTATTAAACAAATAGCAATGAGAACTAGAGAAATAAATAATTTCATCAAATGAAAGCCATGCTTTGCACAATGAGAGGATTTTGTTAATATATCAGAATCAATCTAGCGACCATCTGATGAAGATGTTACAATGCGTAGCCTACATTTGAGACAAAATACTGTTAATATGCCGCAAGTATTTCTGTTGGCTTATGAAAGGGCGATGCAGGCTGCTTTCCAACACGAACACCAGTGACTTGGTATTCATTTACAGGATTTTAGTTTAGTTTAGTTTAATTATCTCCCTTCATCTCTTATGTCCTCTCTTAGGTGTGTTTCCATCCTCAGCATCCATCTTCCCCCTCCATGCCTCCAACACTGACTGTGTTGGAGCTCATCGGGAATGCTCCAGCGACCCCCGGTGCGAGGCGCTGTACCGGGGTTTGGAACTGTGTGCAGCCGACCCATCGATGTCCACACTGGGGGTGCAAGCAGCTTCCGAGTGCCTGGAGAGACAGGACGCTCTGTTGGCCAAACACCCATCTCTGTTGGCCTGCAAGTGCCAGCGCGGTTTCCGAAAGGAGGAGCAGTGCCTGCGCATATACTGGAGGGTTCGTCTGCTGCCAGGTCAGTTAGGCCTCTGCTGGGGCTGGGGTGTGGGGGATATGCTTGTAGGTCTGTATGTGGGTGCATATATATGAAGCTGGGTCTCCATCTATTAGTTCATTAGCTTTACCAGCTTATCCAATGCAAGGTAGTGGCTAAAACCTATCCCAGTATGGAGAATGAGAGGTGAGGTACACTTTGGAAAGGTCAACAGTTTATCACAGGGCTTAAAGATGACTTATTTATGATTATGATTTATTCATATAATTGTAAGGGGGTTGCCTTTACTGATGACCCCACCGAATTATCTCCTGCTCTGCAGTTCCCTTCAGCTCTATAGAGCTTTTTAGTGTCTTTCAGCCAGCAATTTTACTGTTTTGGTTCACTGTCACAGCTCTCATCAGCATAGTTTCCATCAGCAGCAGGCAGTTGCTTTTTAGCAAACACACTCTGATAAACCCGCTGTACACTTACCTGCACAGCACCAAACAGCAGAAAAACACAGTTAGAGACAAGCTGGTGAACATAGTGGAGCATTTAGCAGCTAAAGCCATAGCAATATATTTTTCTCAAGAGTTGTTGGAGACCAAAACAGAGCTAAAGGAGAGTGCATATTGTTAATCTGGAGTACACAAACACAACTTAAAATGAGTGCTAATGTTGCTCTGACATCTGCTGGATGTGTAATAGGCAAATGTATGCCAACAAGCTTAACGCCGCACTAATACTGTTGTTTTTTTAAAATTATCCCACTTGTGGACACATAGGCTGCTGTTCAGCGGAAGTTATATAGGCTCGCTTTAAAGGATAAAGTTGGGCATATACTTTATTTTTCTAAAAAGTCCCTTTTGAAATACCAAAGCCAACAATATGTTACCATCTCTCAATACTTAGCCTGCCTGTGGCACTCAGCCCAAACCTCATATTTAAAATATTCTCAATAATAACAAATGTTCAAACAGGAGGAAATTTGTTGGGGAATATTTTCATTAATCCACAGATGGTGCTCTAGTGTAGTGTATGTGGGACCGAATGTCACCCAGTGCAACAATGAGGCTCACTGATGTGTTTTTACCCCAAAAAGGAGCTGCATAGCATTCTTTTGATACACAGACAATACTTATGGAGTATATATTGGTTCAGAATTAAAACTAAACATCCAAATTGAAAAGGGAGAGAGAAAGGGCAAGGGAGAGAGAGAGAGCCATAAAGAGGGAGAGATGGAGGGTGGTGGGAGAGCAGCCTACACAATATACACACAGAGGTACAGACAGTAAAGGTAATGTTGCTATAGACTGAATGAAAAATGGTACAGATATTTATAGTAGTGTTAATGATAATAATCGTAATGTTAATGATTATAATAACAATAATAATAATAGGACTAGTAACAATAATTGTAGTGGAGGGTGTTGAGCAGAAACGCGGGGGCTGCAGGTGACTCGCAACCACAGATCCAGACTCCACAGCTCCAGAGCCAGAAAACCTGCAGGAAGTGATAGGAGGAGAGAGGAGAGGGACGAGAAAGCACAAGACTACCAGAAAGGGGAGAAGTTGTGTTAGTAACATGCAATAATGGGATGAGGTTGCATACAGAGGGAGAGAAAGTAGAGGAGAGAGGAGCTCAGTGCATCATGGGAAATCCCCTGGCAGTCTAGGCCTATAGCAGCATAACTAAGGGATGGTTCAGGACTCACCTGAGCCAGCCCTAACTATAAGCTTTATCAAAGAGGAAAGTCTTAAGCCTACTCTTAAATGTGGAGATGGTGTCTGCCTCCTGAACCCAAACTGGAACCTGGTTCCACAGGAGAGGAGCTTGATAGCTGAACGCTCTGGCTCCCATTCTACTTTTGGAGACTCTAGGAACCACAAGTAACCCTGCATTCTGGGAGCGCAGTGCTCTGGTGGGGTAGTAAGGTACTATGAGCTCTTTAAGATAAGATGGTGCCTGACCATTAAGAGCTTTGTAGGTGAGAAGAATGATTTTAAATTCTATTCTGGATTTTACTGGAAGCCAATGCAAAGAAGCTAAAACAGGAGAAATGTGTTCTCTTTTCCTGGTTCCTGTCAGAACACGTGCTGCAGCATTCTGGATCAGCTGAAGAGTCTTAATGGAGTTTTTCGAGCAGCCTGATAATAAGGAATTGCAGTAATCCAGCCTAGAAGTAACAAATGCATGGACTAGTTTTTCTGCATCATTTTTAGACAGGATGTTCCTGATTTTCGCAATATTACGTAAGTGAAAAAAGGTGGTCCTTGAAATTTGCTTAATGTGAGACTTAAAGACATGTCCTGATCAAAGATAACTCCAAGATTCCTCACAGTGGAGCTGGAGGCCAGGGCGATGCCATCCAGGGAAACGATATCTTTAGATAATGCGTCACAGAGGTGCTTTGGCCTCAGAACAATAACTTCAGTTTTATCATCCAGGTTTTAACATCCTGAAGGCACATTTGGAGTTAAGCTAACTGATTAGCTTCATCTGGCTTGATCAATAGATATAATTAAGTATCGTCTGCATTACAATGAAAGTTTATGGCATCCTTCCTGATATTTCCTAAAGGAAGCCAATATAAAGTGAACAGGATTGGTCCCAACATAGATCCTTGTGGAACTCCATGACTAATTTTGGCGTGCATTGGGGGATTCATTTAGGATTAAGGATGGGTATTTGCCATTAAAGATTTAGGATTGGGTATTGGGTATTATATAACAAAACAGAGTGAGTGAGCAGGGTTGGAGAGAGGACTATTATTTCTAAAGCAATCACAGTGAGTTTGTTAAAGTATGGAGTGTGTAAATCAGGGGTCGGCAAATAAGTTTGACATCGGGGCAAATTTTTCTCATGCCATTACATGGCGGGCCAGAACATTATTTCAGTCAAATTATTTCAAACCCTTGGATACTCGTGCACATTTGGCTCAGTGGGTAGAGTACAGGACACATCCGGTGGACCTTTTTCTCCCTTGTTAAACAAAATGATCAGCCTATAAGGACACTTTTTCAAATGCTCGCAATTAAGCATGTGTGTGTGTGTCCCAGCGTTTGATCCACATTCATAAACCTATGGAGACTAATTTTCATTTCCCTGAGGAAATTCAGGGGAATCCAATCACATGTTTAGCCTACTGGCGGCTTTTACAGAGGTGTGTCAAGTAAGCCAGAGACTCTTTCGAATGTCCTTCAGAACTTCAGAAAAGTATAAGCTCTCAATAAACTCAACATGAAATACTGCTGCAAAAAACATTCTCACGCTTTTATTTTGGAGGCACAATCACTTAAGAGGAAGTGATTATGTGAGTAAATGTTGCTGTCATGACTGAGATCTATTTCAGCACCAGCCGCTATCAATTTTTATATTTATTTATTATTCTGCTATCAAAGGAATCTGTCCACGGCCAGCCTATTGGTGACCACTGGTGTCATTCCTCCAAAAATTACCATAAAATTCAAAATGGCCGACTTCCTGCTGGGTTCAGGGCATCATTCCAAGAGGCTTTTTGGTCTGGATTTAGGTAACAAAAGATCTGATACATTAAGGATATATGTGAAGTGACTACCAATGCGGTACGATACAATTCACCCCTATTACGATGCAGTGCGATTTGACATGATTGAGCATAATGCGATTCATTGTGATACAATGCAATTTGATTTGATGCAAAAGCATATGATGCTATGCAATTCAATATGGTACTAAGAGTTTGGTTTTATTTCTGTGGCTCTTCTTAAACAAACAGCAAATCATTAATTAAGGCAGCAGTCTCCATGCTCACACCATGTTGCTGCTTCAGGTGAGTTTTTAAGTTACTTTATAGCGCCACGGCATGTTTTGCAAATTGCATGCATCTTGTAAGTCTCTCTTGAAAAGTGTTGGCAAACTTTTGATTTGTAGTTATTTTAATTTGACACGCCTCAGCCTCCGTAGACAGCTCACTGAAAGGAGATGAGACAGTTGAATGACAGTTTACAGAGGAGGAATTGATCTAATTGTAAAATTATTGGTAACAAATTATTGGTCACATTTATAAATAGTGCATAGGGCTTCTACTAATAATTTATGTAAATAATTTGGATTTTACAGATGCAGTTATGTCAGAAATGATAAATCTTGAGTTCAGCCCAAATTGTAACACGTGCACACTTTTTTTTTAACATAAACATACCCACCCACCCAAAGAGTGAGAGACAGACACACAGACAGAGAGATGGACTAGTTAGCCATAGGCTTGAGAGAACAGGTAGCTCTTGACCCTGCTTTTAAAAGACAACACAGTTGTGGTACATCTTATATCATCAGGCAGTTTATTCCATAGAATGGGCCCATAATAACTGAATGCACCAAATTTTCTGATCAGGGTTACAGTAAGAAGTCAGTGTCTAATGATCTATGGGTTCTGGAGGGTTTGTAAGCAGTGAGCAGGTAAGAAATGTATTTGGGAGCTAGACCATAAGGAAATTTGTAAACAGTGAGCAAAACTTTGAAATCAATTATTTATTTTACCTGAAGCCAGTGAAGTTATCTAAATATAGAATATGTTAAGTTGTTCTGTTCCACTGAGTACTCTGGCTGCAGCTTTTTAAATGAGCTGGAGCTGTCCCACAGTATTTTTGGGAAGTCTGCCATGAAGGGCATTACACACATGAATGTATGTGGCTTTCAGTGTCTAATGTCACTGATACATTTGTTAAGGTCATTTATAGGGCTAAGGTTGTGAAAGTGAAATGTACAATTGTATATCAGTATTGGGTCTAGAACTGAGCTTTGTGGGACCCCACAACAAATGTTGTAATTGCCAGTTTTCAATTTTTATACATATATTGTTATATGAAGAGGGCCGGTAAAGGACATGGCCACACAGGCTAACTCAATTTTCTAGTCTACTAAACAGGTTAGGTTCACGCAGTACCATGGTAACTTACCCAGATGGTAACTGTTAATTTAATTCAATTCAATCAGCCAACACAATATCCACACAGAAATATAAACAGTAAAATTAGTAATGTTACAGATGGAAAAT